CCAAAAGACACCTCTCCTTGATATGCCACCCTTATTTCTTTTTCAAAATCTATGAACTAGTTTGGATGAAGAACCGCAGTCACAACCATCTTATCGAATCMTCATTCATAGTTTTATCCATAAAAACCTTTTCAAACTCAAGAACAACCTTGTCTTTCAAAGATTTCCAAAACATCAAGGTTTCTTTTAAATCCTTAAGACAGGATATCATTTCAAAAACTGATTTAAAGAAGCAATCTCTTCTTTATCCTTCTCAAAATAACAATAACATCTTTAAATTATCAAAATAGTTTTACCATCTTTTCTTCAAAACCAACATCAAACCCATAGAGTATAATCAATAGAAAAACTCACAGTTTATAAACAAAGGTAGTTTAAAAGAAAACTCACAGTTTATACTCAACGGTAGTTTAAAACTCACTTAGATCCTCAAAAACAGAATCATAAACCAAACTGTTTAAAACATTAATCTGCATCCTTTTTATCCAGAAACAGATTCGAAACAGTAACAGCTTATCTGCTGTTTAAAACAATATAACATCTTCGAAATCCAGATTCAACAATTAAGCCACAAATACATAAAGAAATCAGTTTCAAAACTACTCACCTTATCAAACAGATTTCTTGATGATGATTACACAGCAAAAGCTTTAATCTTAGCACAGAGTCTTCAAGAACACTTTTCACTGCCACAAACTTTCTTTCTCTTTCAATTGAAATGATAAGATAAAATCTTATCTTTTATTTCTTTAAATACTCYCACCAAGGCGGTGAAGATTATTTTAGTTATAAAACCTCAAAGGCGATGAAAGCTTTTGTCCAATAGAAATAACTTTGGGCAGTGGATTTTGCATTATAAAATTCATGGTTTCTTAACCATGAAGACATACGCTTTTAAACAATAAAATAATGTTTCCATCCGAAATCATCACCAATAAACACCACCTCATGTAGGCTTCACACCACATGCATACATGTATAAATCATTTATGGCATGTCATCTTTTCACATATATGCATACACAATATCATGTATTTCAATTTAGACATGCATATTTCACGTAATCCACATAATAAGCATGTATAAATTACCTCAACCCAGGTTATGTGAAACCCGGTTATAACAAATCAACTTAAAGCTGTTGTTTGCAAGAATTTCGTGATTGATGCTAAGTCAAAAGCAAAGTGTAGAAACCTTTTTCATTCATGAGATTTTAACAAATATATGACTTATATGCAAAAATGTAAGATTTATATACAAAAATGTAATCATATGATAGAACAATGTTGGAGCAAACCTGATTAGATCAACCTGCAGTGGAGCCGACGATAGGGATGGTTCAACAGCAGCGACCGGCGACGAGGGTGGTGCGGCGGCAACGGGGGTGGTGCGACAGCGATGGGGGAGAGGGGGACGATGGTGTTTGGGCATTAAGCAATGAGAGGGAGACGAGAAGGAGACGGGAGGGAGGCGGTGGTGTGGAGACTAGAGGGAGAAGATGAGGGAGATGAGGACTCATATTTTTAGGAGTTTTTTTTTTTAATTTAAGGTTTACCTCCTATTCAGGTTACAAGTTACATTTTTAAAGATGATGATCTATTTAACATGTTTTAAAAAGTCTAAGGAGTTATGTAACAGGTTCTAGAATGTCCAATGATTTATTTGTTCCAAAAAATTGTTCAAGGACTTAATCGTTCCAAACAATAAAGTCCATTGGGTTTTTTGGACTTTTCCCTAAAAATAAATTACCTTTTAGAGACATTTTGTACACGTTGCTAAAATTTTAGAGTGGACTTTTTGAGACATTTTTCATAAAAAGCGTCTCTAAAAGTTTTAGAGACAACTGACACATGGTAAAAATAAGTTTAAGATTGTTCTCTAAAAGTTATGTTACTTTAGTTACACTTTTTTACTTTTGTCATATTGTTTCTTCTCAAAAGGTTATTTTTAGATACGTTTTTAGATCTTCTTTGAAACATTTTTCTCTAAACCACTTTTTTCTTGTAGTGATATAAAACAATAAACAAAAGAAAAATCATGAATTGATCATTTGATATTAAATATACATAGTTTATGAAAATGATATCAAGAGATCATAATAAAAATCATGATCTACACATGGTTCTGTAATCCATATATCTTTAAACTTTGATATTCTAAAACTCTAATATCATATACAAAAAATGTGTTATATTAGAGTAGATGTATCATATAAACAAACTATCTTTCCATGTTATCATCTTCAATTATATCCAAAAGTCCTTCGTCATCGAAGTTGAATTCAAAATCTTCATCACCTTCAACTTGTGGTTCTTCATCTAACTCAAAATCATCCTTCAAGTCTTCGATATGGGTTTGAACTTCGACGGAGTTACAGGTCGGTGTGAACTTCGATATGGGTTTAAACTTTGATGGAGTTAAACATCATGTCTTGGCCAACCCAATTACGTCAGAGTAGATCGTTGGGTATGGTGGTGTTTGTCGTATCGTATTTTAGGGGTTGGTTGGTGCATTGTTGTGGAGTTAGGAGGGAGGGAGGGAGGGAGGGAGGGAGGGATAGAGAGAGAGAGAGAGAGAGTGTGTGTGTGTGTGTATGTGTGTGTGTGTGTGTTAAGCGACGAAGATGGGGTGATTGTTCGTTTGGCGGACAAAAGATCATTACGAGTGGTTCACCGTTGAAAGGGAGGTGTCACCAGAGGGGAAGGGGAAAGGTTTGGCCGGCGAGGGGGTTTGGGTTCTTGCAACTGTTTATATGTATATATAATTACAATGTTGGTTGATATACTTTGATGGTTGTTATAAAATAAGGAAAAAATGAAAAAAAACCAAAAAAATGAAAAAGACAAAAATGCCTTTCATCTAATGGACAGTTCATAACGGAGTTTTGTGATTAGGGATCATTTTCAAATCACAAAGCAAACTATAAGGATGATTTCTAAACTTATCAAAGTTCAGGTCCCACTTTCAAACTCTTTCATTAAACTTCAAGGAACAAAATTAGAGTTTACTGATGGATTCTTCCATCGGTGATTGAAAATTTGCTGGTAATCATGATCACCGACCATATTTTCTCCAACAATGAGATCCGTCGGTGATGGTTTTTTTGCGGTGGACTATCGATATATTTTTCTGTCAGTGAAGCTTGTTTGTTTTGCAGTGTTGTGGCCGCAAATACACACACACACATATACACATGTTTTCTACTATTATTCAACAAGTCAATGATATTAAACAATTTAAATGATATAATATGCTAAAACTAAATAAATAACGACACTAGAAAGGTTAGAAAAATCAAATATTGCAATGTGAAACCCCGTATTAGGCCATGGGGTGCCATAGGTTTAACGTAACGTCAAACACGAGTTTTGAACTACAATGCGTCACAACGTCAACCGTTGTGACCTTATTAGAACAATGCATATAACTAGTAACATAGAAAGCAACAATCAATGAGAAGCAAAAGACCAAACGAAAATCAATAGTGATGAAGAGCAACATATCTTTAGTTTTGACTTTGATCTTTATATCCATCATAAAGGCATATCGGGACAAATGAAACGTCCCTCAACCAAACATTGCATATAACATATAATTCATTCAGAGAAATACATGTTTAATCCAACAAAGGTCAAAAGTACAAGAAATTATATTACAAAATACACAACCCAAAAATTTCACATAACATTTGACTTCCAAAATACATCCACAGATTGATCTTCATATAGCTATGCATATAGAGAAACAAATCATATTTTCCCTTTTTCTTTATTATCATTATACTCTGCAGTTCTGCAATAAATATTTAAAACACAAAATGAGGGTTACACCTGAAGGTCTAGTAAGATCCCTTTTTCCATGTAATTGCAGGGTGAAAATCACCAAAACATTATCTAAATCATTCATTTCACATAATGAATCATAAATCCATAATCTGTTTAGTTCATCTGTCCTCTGGTTCCAATAACACGACTTAGAAAATATTTTTATAGAATAGCCGGACCAGAGCTCCTATGGTTCCTCTACCAGAGTTTCTGGTTATACCAACCAGAGCCCCTCTCAAGTTAATCTTTATTAATATACCAAGTTGAACACTAAGAATAGATAAAATAGTTTCCCCAAGTATGAAAGTATAAAATAAAAGGTTTTAAATATGACCAGAGCCTCTGGTTCTACTAGCCAGAGCTCTGGCTCAAAACTCATGACCAACCAGAGGCCTTCTGGTTCAACGTGAAAACCAACCAGAGCCCCTTTGGTTTGTCTTTCTTTATATAAAAAGTTTCTACGTTAAATTAAGAGTATAAAATCTTATGAACACCTTTTCAAAACATAACTTGGACACAGAGCTCCTATCTAATAGATACAGAGCCTCTGGTTTAAAAAGATTTGTAAAAAGACTTATAACAATATCAAACCATCATCCAGAACCCTCTGGTTCTAATGGTGAGGATCAACCAGAGCCCCTCTGGTTCCTTTACCAGGAACAACCAGAGACTCTTTTGTTAGGACCAAAATTGATCCTAATTATTCTAAAAGTTTTATCCAAGCAATTGGGACCAAGGATGGAAGATCTGAATATGCTGTTGTGCTAAAACGACTAAGTCTGGAAGAAGACCAGAGCCCCTATGAACGACCAGAGCCCCTATGAACAACTAGAGCCCCTATGGACGACCAGAGCCTCTGGTTGTATTAACCAAAGACTCGGACTCTAAGTCCTTTAGGACCAGAGCCCCTATGGACGACCAGAGCCCCTATGGACGACCAGAGGTGCGATGAACGTCCATAGGTGCGATGAACTGCGTATCTCCATAACCCCTCTGGTTGGTCTATGCTCTGGATGACTATCTTGCTGATCCCATTTTCGATAATGATTATTTCCTTGTTTATAAGTTACCTTATTTGTAGGATTCAGTTATCATGTAACTATCGCCTATATAATAAGTGATACAGGCATAGAATAGAAGTAAGATGAATGATCAACCCTTTGTAACACACAGATTCAAACACATCACATGAGAGTCGATTAGGGCTTTTGAGAGAGTTTGTATTCAATAAATAAAGCGGCGGCCAATTTCTATTCATCTTCTTCTACAAATCTCTCATTTTATATTTCTGTTAAATTGTTCTACTGTCAGATTTGGGTTTAACAATTGGTATCAGAGCCAAATCGATTAACTTCTATCGATTCAATCTTTCTGCAGTAGATTCAATTTTCTTGAACAATACTCTTTCATGAACTACTTCCTGTTCGACTGCAGTTTAGACCCAAAATTCATCGATTCATCATATGATTAAATGTTTTAATCAAATTCCTTTTATGGGATTTGTTTTTGGAAGAATACGAACCTATTTTGATCATAAAAAATTTGGTTTATTTGATGGAGTTTCTTGGAGTCATTGAACTTTTGAACCTTGATTTTGTCAGATCTACGCGTAGGCGTTAAGCAGGAGTTCATGGTGCTCACAGCCTAAGGCAATTGGCGTTTTGTTTGTCAAACCTATACTTATCGCCCATATCTTGAGTATTTGTTCATCGTGTCTCCTTGTAAATCTGAATCTGTAAGAGCTTAAAGATTTATTTACCTGTAATCACCAATCCTATATGAATATGGCGATATTTCTTCATGGTTTGCCCTTAGAAGCATCAACAGCAATACTGTCAATTTTCTTTGAATTGACCTACTATTTCTTGAAGCCATAAATCGTAATGTTAATTATTCTCTCCAGTTCTCAATTCCAATAGTGTTTGCTTTGGTTATTCAAATTATCTCCAATTGGATCAAGCTCTAAAGCTGAATTCCTACTCAACTTGCAGTTCAACGAAAGATTCTTTGTCATAAGACTGGTTGCACTGTTTTGTCAAGAAATTCGCACATTTATCTATCCCTTAGTTGGATGAATTTGCTACTTTTGGGGTTAAGTGGCTATTCTATGGTTCAAAGTATGTGTTGGGTTGTAGGCAGATTAAAGTTGCATTTGTGCAATCAGTGGTGCTGCATTCATATTGAATTTGATTTGGTCTAAAAGTTGAAAATTAAGATTAGAGAGCTACATTCAGGGGGGATCTTGAAGATTCCATCCATACCAAGCACACTAAAGCTTTATTGAAAAAAGCAGAGGGGAGAAGACCTGAAGGCTTCATGAGGATGCTTGCTTCATAAAACATTGGGGGGAGATTGTTAGGACCAAAATTGATCCTAATTATACTAAAAGTTTTATCAAAGCAATCGGGGCCAAGGATGGAAGATCTGAAGATGTTGTTGTGCTAAATCGACTAAGTCTGGAAGAAGACCAGAGCCCCTATGAACGACCACAGCCCCTATGAACAACCACAACCCATGTGGACGACCAGAGCCCCTACGGACAACCAGAGCCCTTATAGACGACTAGAGCCTCTGGCTGTATTGACTAGAGACTATGGACTCTAAGTCTTTTAGGACCAGAGCCCCTATTGACGACAAGAGCCCCTATAGACGACCAGAGGTGAGATGAACGTCCATAGGTGCGATGAACTGCGCATCTCCATAACCCCTCTGGTTGGTCTATGCTCTGGATGACTATCTTCAGAATTTTGAAGGTGTTAATCCCATTTTTGATAATGATTATTTCCTTATTTATAGGATTTAGTTACCTTATTTATAGGATTCAGTTATCATGTAAATATCGCCTATATAAGAAGTGATACAAGCATAGAATAGAAGTGAGWTGAATGATCAACACTTTGTAACACACAGATTCAAACACATCACATGAGAGTCGATTAGGGTTTTTGAAAGAGTTTGTATTCAATAAAGAAAGCGGCAGCCAATTTCTATTCATCTTCTTATACAAATCTCTCATTTTATATTCTTGTTAAATTGTTCTACTGTCAGATCTGGGTTTAACATCTCTGGCATAAATCAAAACTTTGTTCCAAAATCATAATTTATCCAAAACCATTGGCCATAAGCCAAGTTTTCCCCTTCTCAATAACATTAATACTATYATTTCTAATAAGAGCAACATCTCTGAGTCCTCAAATCACAAAGAAGTAAGAACTCAAAACTATTGCAATCTTAAGAGACATAATAGAAAGAGCTATAATATTTACACAGACAAATGTCACTCTTATATCCAAAGATACACCTCTCCTTGATATGCCACCCTTATAACCGAAGGTACACCTCTCCTTGATATGTCACCCTTATTTCCTCATCAAAATCTATGGACTAGTTCCAAATGAAGACAGATTGAAGTCACAACCATCTTGATGAAACATCTTCCATAGTTTTAAACATCAAAATTTATAGTTTAATCCCAAACGAAGACAGACCGAAGTCACAACCGTCTTAAAGGAATATCCTCTATAGTTTTTAACCAATAATGATTTCAAAATAGTTTTATCTTCAAAACTTTGAAACTCAGAAATCAACTGTTCTTTCAATAACATTTTCAAACTCAAAACCTCCAGTAAATCCTAAAAATAGGATATTATTCACAACTATTTTTAAAGAAGCAAAACCTTCTTTATTTTCCCAAAACAGTTTCCACAAACCAGTTTCATAAAAGCAATTAAAACTGTCAAAATAGTTCTACCATTTTTCTTCAAAATCAAACATCAAAACCCAGCAGTTTCAAATATCATTATTTAAATGGTTTAATAACAAGAACTCACCTTATTAGGCACAAATTTGAAGATCTAATCAAACAGTAGCTTCTTCAAATAAACACAGATTCTCCAATTCGTTTTTATGCAACAGTTCTTTTTCAAGAACACTTCCATCGTCTTACTCACACACACTTTTCTTTCTTTTCAAAGATTTCTCATAAAGTAGGACCAGATAAGGTTATATCTTTTATCCTCTTTATATATACTTAACAATCAAGGCGGTGAGGATTTATTATATAAAATTCTTGTAGGGCAGTAGTTTTAATATTTTAAAACCAAACCTTTCTTAACCATGAAGGTTGTCTACCTTCATAATAAAACACTATTAAACCGATTATGCAGTTCACACTTACATGTACATACATATTTTAACATTTACTCATGTATGCACAGTATAACCTTCTCACATATGCACAGAATCATATTCACGCATATATATATATATATATATATATATATTCATGCACTTTATCACATATTCACATATAATCACATAAAGGTTACCTCAACCAATGTCATTTGAATTCCAGGTCATCACAACAAAGGTGATCGCTAAACTGAGTTTGTCGAGCTACTAGCTTCATGAACTGCCTTATTATGATAAAAGCCTACAACAAATTATTTTTATAAATAAATTAAGTGGCTTCAAACCATCTTTTAATATATCATATGAAGTTCAATAAATAAATATGTAGGTTCAACAACTGACCTTCAGGTTGGTCGTAAATGTATTGTGATAATTCAAATTTTTGAACTTGATCCGTGGAGCTCCGAGTTCCATGAAATGGTTCACATCTTTTAAAGCCTACAAGTTACAATCATGCATATTATAAACAAAACGATATACTTTTACCCACTTAACATCATATACGCTAAGATTCTAGTTTTTAAATATATAATTTTCCTAAATCTTTTACTTTTTATTTTTAAATTATGATATTATATATTTAATTTATAAAATTGATATGAGATAACAAAATATATAAAACATGAAATTGAACAAATTTATGGTTTGAAAATACATGACCAAAACTTTAATCATGCTTTTTTTTATCAATACTTAATTATATAGAATGTTCATTAAATTATTCTTTAGGGATATATATAGACACATATTTATGTTTTGGTTTTGAAACCACTAAGCATAATATACATTCAGAAAATGAAGAACATAAGAGAAAAGTAGGGTTTTAGCCTAAGTAAAGACTTACAATTGTAATTGAGAAGGACTGAGTCTAGAATCTTGATCCTCATTTTGTCAAGAAAATGATAGTAAGCATTTCTCCATTGTTTGCTAACGAGCAATGGGGCAATCATGATCCAAAAGCCAACAATCAATCCACCGATTGTAACAATCACTAAGATCCAATCGATGCTATCGGATTCATCATCTTCCTCTTTAGTCCCATTTGGATCGTCAGTAGGTTGTCCACAGTCTGCAAGAGGAGCCCCACAAAGTGCATTGCCAATGAAGCTAGATTCATTGAAGCTCTGGAGTTGAGTGCTTGTTGGGATTCTTCCCGTAAGACTGTTGTTCGACAAGTCCAATAAATTCAGACTAGATAACACCGAAAAACTCGATGGAATTCTCCCATTAAGATGATTCATGGACAAATCTAGAGATTCAAGCTGTCTCATTTCACCAATCCTCTGAGAAATACTCCCTGTTAGGTTGTTTCGTGACAAATTCAGGTACCGTAAGCCCGGGAGTGCCAAAAGCTCATCAGGAATTGACCCAGAAAACTTGTTATTAGCAAGGTCTATTGTTGTCACTAGATAAAGAATGGTGCTATATGGAAACACTTGTCCCTTTACCACCAACGACGCGCTGCCTATCACTTGATTTTGAAAAATAGTATCGTAAAGAATAATTGGACTTGACTTATTCCTACCAGAAATGACGCTGAAATTTCTGAAGCATGCTGGTAGGTTCCCAGAAAGATCATTATGAGCAAGATCCAAGATCTGAAGAGAACTAAGACCACATATTTCATTTGGGATTTCACCTTCTAATTTGTTCGAACGAAGACTTAGAAGTCTCAAACTCGTATCATCTCTTCTTATTGATGTTGGTATTCTCCCAGAAAGTCGATTTTCAGCAAGCTCAATGATTACCAAGCTCTTGGAATTTAATAGAGACACTGGTATATTCCCAGATAGCCTATTGTTGCGCACTGCTAATGATACTAGGGAAGAAATATTTCCTAGAGAAGACGGGATTTGACCAGATAACTTGTTTTCTTGTAGGTCCAGAATTTCTAGAGATCCCCAATTCATCCAACAATTTGGGATAACACCTGACAGGTTATTGTTTCCTAGAACAAGAACTTTTAACTGTCGTGGTTCTTGAATGCTAGAACACAGAAATTGATCAATAGATCCCGAAAGATTATTGTATGAAAGATCAAGAAATTCTAAGTCAGGTGTACTGAAATTATGAGGTAATGGGCCGTAAAAATGGTTGGCACTTAGATCTAGTTTTGCTCCTGGTGTAAGAAAACTAACATCTCCTAACTTACCTAAAATGTTATTGTGGGATATGTTTAAGAACGTTAGACTAGAGAATGCGCTCCAGATCCAAATGGGGATGGTGTCTGATATGTTTGCATTGGCTAAATCTAGCTCTGTCAAGTTTGCTTGTGACCGCACCCACGATGGAAAATGAGGGCCTAAACTTGAAGAACCAATTCTCAACACCTCAAGTTGGAAAGGCGGAATCCAATTGGTAACATCTAGCTTAAACTCTAACTTGTTGTCCCCAACCCACAAAGTTGTCAAGGCTGATAGATTGGCAAAGTGGTGTTCGGTCACAATACCCGTTAATGAATTGTGATGAAGACTTGCAAAAATTAGTTTCCCAAGTTGTCCAATACTTTCAGGAAGACTTCCACTCAACTTGTTATAGGAAAGATCAAAGAAGTTCAGAGACGATAAACGACCAATTGTATCTGGGATCGAACCTTCAAGTTGATTTATATTCATCTGCAATGTCTGCAAAAGTGACAAACTTCCTAAAGAATCCGGAATAGTCCCTGTGAAATTATTGTATGCAACATCAATGCTGCCCAAATTCTTCAACCTTCCTAGTTTTTTTGGTAGTCGACCACTGAGATAATTTCCACGTAAGGCTAACAATTCCAGTTTAGGAGACTCACATTCACAAAGGTTTTCAAGAAGCTCTGATACATCTCCATGAAATCCGTTAGATTGCAGATCAAGGGTAGTCAAATTGCAAAGATTGCTTAAAGATTTAGGTATCTTCTCGACAATTTCATTGTTTGATAAATCAATATGAACAATCAAAGACAAGTTTCGAAGGTTTCCAAGAATGGGACTAGAAAGATTGCAGTTACTAAGATCAAGAAAATGAAGATTACTTAGCCTAGACAACCCATCCAGTATCGACGTAGAATTCACAAAAGTGTTAGATGTAACACTAAGGGTACTCAAAGACGGCATGCTATGGAAACCCCCACGAGTATCGGGGTTTATACCACTGATAAAGCAACCAGAAAGATCAAATACAACGAGATTATGTAGACTGAAAATCCACCCAGGCAACAAAGAACCATCAAAGATGTTATCCGAAAGATCTAGGACCCTAAGGGAAGTAAAACTAACTTTAGTTGGATTAGTGGGAATTCGAGTTAACCCACAAGAGGAAAAGTGTAGTTTTATCAAAGAAGGGAGACTGCTGATCACCTGTAACCAATCTGAAGCTCTTGCTAGGTCGATGCTACTCATATCTAGGTGTTGCAACCTTTTCAGATTTTCTAACCATTTCAAACTTTTCGAGTAAGGATTTGTGGAAAAAGGATCACTGTGAAGATCTAGAACATGCAGCAGGGATAGATTCCCAAGATGATGGGGGATTTCCCCATAGAATCTCGAGTTTGAGACATTAAGATAGCTAAGATTCTGAAAAGAACCGATGAACGTCGGAATCTTACTGGATCCGAAATCGTTGCAACTCAAATCTAGGTATCTGAGTTGTCTTAGATTGATCAAAGAAGGACTTAATATTCCTCCTAACATTTGTTTTGATGCTTCTTTAAGTTCATCATCGGTATCATAAGATCCATGGCAGTGGCCGCGAATTCTGTCATCAGGTCCACGAAGGCGAATCTCGTGAACGTGACCGGTGAAGTTATCACAGACGACACCGGACCAACGGCAACAGTCTTGACCGGCCCAAGAAGAGAGGCGGTTGGCTTGGTCGATGAGATTGTTCTTGAACTGAAGAAGCGCCGATCTTTCATTACTTATACATAATATATTATTTATGTTTTGAGTAGAGAAACAAAAGGTGCATAGTGATGAAGCAAAGAGAAACCAAAGGCCAGACGACGAAGAAACAAATGTGAGAGATTTCATGATTGTGATGAATGGAAAAGATGAAGTTCTCTTCTATTTATACACATGCATGTGTGTGTATATTGTTTGTTTTATCATTACAAGCCTTTATTTTTATAAAGTTGCTTGCTTTTAAACCATTTACTAAAAACATAAATACTAAAATATTTATTATACTTGACAATTTAATGATCAAATCATTTATGCTTATAAATTATATATAGCATTAAAAAACGATAGTATATTTGAAATGGAAACAAATACAATATTTCAAGAAAAGAAACAATATTCATTTTTGAAAAGGTTTTGGGCATTTCAATACACTATTAAATGAAAGACATTTATTTATGCATTTTTTTTTGGAAAATTTGGTCGTTAAAAAGGTGATTCGTCATTAAACCGTCACAAAAATTGATGGATAAATTGTTGATATAAAACTCAAATTAGTGACAGATTACCTTGCTATTTTCTAGATGATCTATTATTATTTTGTTGAAAAACATCTGATTTTACCGGAACCATCGGTACTTTCCACGTGATCCGTCGACAATCACCGACGAAAACTTCTCTAGCTTATGGTAAAAATCATTTGTTTTGTAGCGATATTACCATCATTCATATAATAATTTTATCTTCTTCAATTTATTTAGTGTGATAAAAGGAAAAGCATATTATTGATGACCAAATTCTTACATAAATGTAGCTACGAAATACAAAAAGTTGTATATACTTATTAATTTTTTATGGGTGGAAAGTATGTTTTAATTCAAAACTGTGATGTGAATTCAAAACATACCTAAAAATCAATGTCAATATCAAATATCAATATGAATGTTTGGCATGAAAGAATGGACTCTTTGAAATAATATCAATTTGGGTAGATTAAATGCACCAATTATTTAGATGGGGCCTTTGTTTGTGATGTCCAAGCTAAAGGTACACGGTCATTAAATAGGTAGACATGACATTTGAATTGAAGATGAACCATCATGGTAGAGCCTACTGAAATCGTAAATGTGTTCTTTGAAGATTGGTAGAGAATGTGAATGCAATATTGTACACATGTTATGGACTTTTATAAATACATGATTATATATAGAAACTTAGTAATTTATGAGATCCATGATATATAATGTTAACCACTCGTTTTAATTAAATTATTTTGTAATTTAATTCATGATTGAGGGTGATTTGGTAATTTGTGATTAGATATTATAACCACCCCATGATTTTGTTTCCATCATTATCTCATCCGACTTTTCAAACAACCCCCAATTAGCTTCATCAAATAAGCAAACCACCTCTCATTCTTGGCCGAACAACCAATGACATTAGTGCGTATTATATTGTGTATCTTAGGATATCACCTCCTGTATCTTGGGATATAATATCATTGTGTGTCACATTGTTGAACAACAAAAACCATGTATATAGTGGGTATCCTATTCTGTATCCTAGAGTATCACAACATGTATATAGCGGATATCACATCGTGTCTTGTACGTTATCACCTGTATATAATGGGGGATCACATTTGGCATATGTGGGTACGATAGAGGTATCCATGGATATATATATATAGAGAGAGAGAGAGAGAGAATAATCTTAATTAATATATCACAACATGTATGCAGTGAGTATCACAGAGGATTGTTTACACCGGAAAGGAGAGGAGAAAGAAGAGAAAAGAGAGGAGATATAAGATTTCTAAAATACCAAAAATATTATTTATTTAAAATTTGAAGTCAAGATTGCCAAAATTATTAATTTCTGAATTTAACCTTTGATTTGTGGCTGAGATTTGATCTCAAGGATTCCACAAAAATATTGAGTTTTCTACTAAATGCCCCCATATATGGCTATATATATATATATAGACTTGGGATTATGTGAGACCAAAGATTTTTCGTGAGACCCGTAAGACCAATTCTCAACCTTTGGATTAGATCTACAATCTGAACATTCATAATCACAAAATTGTCACGAGACTTCTCAATAATCACAAAATTGCCACCGTGCAATTTTAGATCATTAGCTTATAAAGTTGATCAATGAACATAAATTGGTCTTACGTGTCTCACGAAAAACCCTTGGTCTCACGTGAACTCAACCCTATATATATAGGCGAATGATCGTGTGAGAAGTAGAGTTAATGTGAGAAATGTAAGAAGAAATTTGAACATTTGATCACCTTTTATTTGAAACTCACCCATGAATTGCACTTGATACAGGGATTGATCCCCTTCACCTCGGTGCATCTCATCCTAATGTGAATCCAATGGTGGAGATCTCTTTTTACGCTTCTCACCTTAATTTTCTTTCTCACTGGAATCCAACTCATATATATATATATATATATATATATATATATATATACACACACACACACACATATATATATATATATATATATAATATATAGAGAGTTGTGTTCACGTGAGACCAAGGGTTTTTCGTGAGACCTGTAAGATTAATTTGTGTTCATTGATCAACTTTATAAGCTAATGATCTAATGGTCTAAAGTTACACGGTGGCAATTTTTTGATTATGAATGTTTAGATTGTAGAACTAATCCAAAGATTGAGAATTGTTCTTATGGTTCTCACAAAAAATCTTTGGTTTTACATGAACCCATGTCTATATATATACACACACACACACACACATAGGAGGTTTACTTTGCAAACCACGTTATTTTTACAAACCATACAAAACTCATTCAACCAATCATAATTTTTCATTTTGTTCATTATTTTGTAATTATGAGAGGTTGATTAATCATTTTTATTGTGGAGGGTGTTAATCATGGATATTATCATCTTCGTTATTTTAAATCTTAGATAAATACATGAAACAGTTTCATAAAAATTTCATTAAGTATTATATGAAACAATTTCATAACTATATATTAAACAACTTCATCAAAAAAAGTATTACATGAACACAATTTCACAAGATTAAACAATTTTATGAAAAAATTTCATAAGATTAAACAATAAAATCGACGGAAGAGGCTGGTTTGCACGATTTGTACAAATTTGATGGTTTGTATTTGATCGCTCCTCTCTCTCTCTATATATAAAAGGGCTGACCCTATGGGTGGGTAGCTTAGGGCACCCCAAGCCCAATGTCATGCAAATATCCCAATACTAGTTGTATAGTCACTAAAAATTAAATGAAATTAATACTAGAAAGATTTGAACCCAGATCATCTAGTATTATCAAGATGCTTTTACCAATGAGCTGAAGATTATTTTGTTTATATTATCTAGATTTCGCTTTTAATACTTCACTCCCTATTCCTCATTTTTCATTTTTCACTTCCGGTTTAATTTTTAAAGTTATTTTTTTGTCGTACTTTTACAACAATAAATATTTATTTGAAATAAAATTTGTAGCACAACTAATATTTGTATAACTTATCTATACTATCTTACAAAGCATTTGGCTAAAACTCTTAAAAACTCTTAAACCCGTTCATCCCTAAACGATTTCATCCATATCCGATTTTATCCCATATCTGAATTCGTGTAACTAACTGCAGATAAACACAATCAAATACAGGATAAATATCTCATTTTAAATATAAAAAATCTAAAAATATAATTAATATAATCATTAAATTCTAACATAATACTTAATTATTATTTTTATAAAATTTATAATATTAAATCAAAAATAAATTGTTTTATTATAAAACTTAAATTAAATCAATATCATCTTATAAAACATTTGACTAAAACTCTTAAAGACAACCTTTAAAGCATATAGTACTACCAATTAATGTCAAATTACTTAAATTTCAATGTTACAAATTCTATTCCTAATGGTACAACTTCCTAAACCTCTCCCTAAACCCGTTCMACARATTTTGATGAAATCCCTAACCCAAATTCGATTTCATCTCAAAATCTCTCCTATCCCTAAACCATCGCCAACAGATTGTGATGAAATCCCTAACCCAAAT